CATGCACACACACATGCACAGACACACACATGTACACACTGTACAAATGCATATGTGCATGCACGCACCCATGAATGCACCCATGCACACACACACTCACAGACACACATCCACACACTGTACAAATGCATATGAGTATGCATCCACCCATGAATGCACCCATGCACACATACATGCTCAGACACACACACGCACACACTGTACAAATGCATATGTGCATGCACGCACCCATGAATGCACCCATGCACACACACATGCACAGACACACACACACTGTACAAATGCATATGGGCATGTACGCACCTATGAATGCACCCATGCACACACATGTGCATACCGACACACACACACATATGCACACACTGTACAAATATGTATACACATGCACATGCCCACACATATGGACATGTGTGGCATGGTCGAGGGAGCTGGTGAGGCTAAAAGGGAGGGTCTCTCAGGCTTTTAGTCCACTTGGAGGAACACAGCAGTTTCCACTTTCCATCCCTACTCCTGATTCATCCATGCTGGATGCCACGCATTCTCCAAACGCAACAGGACCCAGCCGGCCCTAGGACACTGTCCTTGGTGTGATCTTCACCCCCTCAACTGGCTAATGCCCTTCAAGTTTGGGACTAGATACTGTCCTTCCCAGTAAACTTGAAATAACTCCTCCATCCAAACTAAGAGTATTAATTTCCAATTGCTGCTGAAACAGATTACTACACGCTTAGTGGCTTCAAACAACACCATTTATTACCTTGCAGTTGTGGACGTCAGAAGTCTGAAATCAGCTTCCCGGGGCTAAAATCAAGGTGTCGGCAGGCCTGCATTCCTTCTGGAGGCTCAAGGGGAGAAGCCATTTCATTACTGTTTCCAGCTTCCAGGGGCCATCTGCATTCCTTGATCCATGGCCCCTTCTTCCATCTTCGAGGAGCACCGTGGCTCCTTCAAATCCCTTTCTATGACTAGGACTCCTGCTTCTGTTGTCACATCTTCCTCCCTCTGTCTCTTCCCTCCTGCCTCCCTCTTATAAGGTCCCTTGTGTTTACATGGAGCCCACCTGGAATATCCAGGACCATCTCCCCCTCTCAAGATCCTTAACTCAATGACGCCTTCAAAGACACTTTTGCCATGCAAGGTAACACATCTTACAGCTGTTCCAGGGATTAGGATATGGACATCTTTGGGGGGCTGTTATTCTGTCTAGCTGAGTGGGTGTCCATCCTCAGTGCCACCTCTGTCCCTGGGCTTCACTCTGAATTCTATCTCCTTATGAGAACATTTTCTTCTCCACCAGTTGGTGAAATGATGGATGTTTGAGAGTCTGACTAATTTCTGCATCTCTAGAACTTCTACATAAGAGGAGGTCAGGTAGGAGGCAGAGGAGATTAGAAAGAGCCCCCAGGGAACCCCCAGTGCCCTAAGTGACAGTTGGCCCCTGTATGACAGGACTGTGGCTGCTCACCAGCCGTGTCCTCCCCTCCTGGACTTCCAGAGAGATGATCTTTCCAGCTTCCCTTGAAGTTAGGTGTGTCCTGGGATGAAGTTCTAGCCAGCGGAGTGTGAGCAGGAGTGACAGGGGCTCCTTCTAGGCTTGGCCTATAAACCCTTCTACACGAGATCTTCCCTGCTCCTAGTGGACAGCAATGCCCTGGGTGACCCTGGATGCCACAGGCTGAAGGTCGTGCCTGGTTCCCAGAATGACTCTGGAGCAGAGCCTGCTGTACCCCTGTATTAGCCATGTTGCAGGTTTCTGTCAAGTTGATGCATTCTCATCTGTCCTACACGGCTGTGCCAGACATGCCCTGTCCCAGACAACCCTATAGTATGCCTGAGTCACCTTGCTTTGGCCTCCTGCCTCCCTCAGTGCCCCCCTACCCCCCAACATGCTCCTGAGCAAGAATCCTCCTGCTGGGGGTGCACTTTTCAAATACAAACCAGCCAACCCAGAGCCCACAACCCAAACCACCTCCCTTATGGGGCCCTCACACTTTGGACCACTATCACCTGCCCTAATCCCCCCAGGGCCAGGTACCCGACAACTAGGATTATCCCCTCCACCCAGAGCCCCCTGAAATTATTTAATCCAGCCAATCCTAAATCTGCCTACACTATCTTGCCCATTCCTCCTTGCGGAAACCACAGTAAGGGCTCCTGCCCACAATTTCCCCTCACCCCCTTTCTTCCTCTGTGAGTCTGGTGCTCCCCTGTGTGGCTCCCCTGGCTGGCCCCTTGGGAACTGTTAGCAGTAGATACACTTCCCCAAACCCACACCTTCTGACAGTGAGACAGCTTTCCCCCAGGCGAGGGTGCGGCTGCCTCCGTGGCTGTTGCCCCCGAGCCCCCACCTGTGGTGTGCAGAAAGTAGATCCCCAGGTTTTCCTGACTCTGCTCTTCACCTTCTGTTCCGGTTACCTGGCATCAAGTCCCTGCAGGGCTCTCCGAATTCAACACCTGGGAATCGCCCTCCCACTCCTCTCTACCTGACCTGCGACCACTGACCACGTGGCCGGGCCTCTAGGTCTGTCACATGAACGGATCCCCTGCTCCGTTTCCCAGGTCCCCTGTGTTACTTCTTCGGGTCTGTTCACCCAGATGTAGGTCCCGTCCACAACCACCCACTAGATTCTTCAGCATTGTCGCTGATTGCTACAGGGCTTGTAAACAGGGCCGCTCACGCTGTCTCCACAAAGAACCACCTTGGATCTGCAGGACCACAGAGCGGGACCAGCTGTGTCACCAAGGATATGGGGTCACCTGGACCCCTCGCCAGGAGAGCCCCAGCCTGCAGTCCCCTCTCAGATTAAAACGGAACGTTACTCTGCGAACCGCTAGGGGGCGCGAGAGGCTCGTTCTGATGAATTTTTGTGCGTCTTTTCTGTCTTTTTTTCTATAGAAAAGATAAGCAACTTGAATGCCTGTTACAGTCCTGGTATTAAAGTTTTATTATATATTAAAAATATTTTTAAGAATCCAACCTAGACTCAGCTAGCTCTTACTATGGTCCAATTGCTATTTGAGTTGTATGCAAACATTAACACGTTCAATCCTCCTGGCACAAACCCTCCACAGCACATCCTATTCTGGTCTCCATTTTTCTTGAAGCTAGAGACTGAAAGATTAACTTGCTCAGGGTCAGCCAGCTCTAAGTGGCGGTGACTGCAGACCCGCGTTTGGGGCACCTGGCTCTCTATTCTGACCTGGGGACAGGATACATCTCACCGGCTG